GAAAGCTTATCGCGGTCCTTCCTGAAGGGGGTGGGCCTGTTTTTTGGGCCAATTCCCCGACACTGGTTTTTAGGCCGCAGCCTTCGGGGGTTCGCCTTGGATGACGCCTTGTTCCGCCCCTAGAAGCCCCGGGGCACCGGCCGCGGCTGCCGCACCGGCAGCCTTGAAGTGCGCACGCAAGCGGTCGGGGGGGGAAGAAAACGGCGCGCCGTTCTTCATCCGCCGCCTCCGGCACACGGACCAATTTGGGTTCGGGAGCCGCCACCCGCGCCGCTTCGGCCGCCGCCGCCGCCGCTTCGGCCGCCGCAGCCGTCGCGCCCTCCGCCGCCGCCCGCGCCGCCGCCTCGTCCGCCGCCGCCGCCGCCGCCGCCTCCGCCACCACCAAGCGCTCGTTCGCCTCGGCGAGCCGCGCCTCGAGCCTGTGTCAAGTATTGTCAAGGTGAGCTGGGTCTGCTGGCAGGGCGTGTGCTACGAAATGCCGCGTGTGCTCGCGATGCCCAACTGTGACGTGATCCCACCCAAGATCACCCGAGATCACCCGAGATCACCCGAGATCACCCGAGATCACCCGAGATCACCAAAGTTCACCAAAGATCGCCCGAGATCGCCCGAGATGGCTCGGCACGACACGTGTGGTGGGGCAAGGGGGGGCGACCCTCGCATCTCCACGCCCGGACACGGGCAGGAGCCCCACGGCATTCAAAGTGCAAGCACCGGCCCGGTGCCGTGGGTGAGCAACCTGCACCCCACTCCCTCCCTCCCAGACACAGGACCCGCACAAACCCCCACAGCGTGGACGACTGCGTTCAGAAACACCAAGCAGCGAGGCGACGAGGGTGAAGGGGTAAGGGGCTGTGTGGGGCAGAATCTACATCTGACTACTCCGTCTAGCCTGGGGGGTCGCAGGAGGGGGGGGCAGAAGGGGTAAGATATGGGTGAGGCCAGCTAGTCGGAGACCCTGTCGTCGGAATACTCCTCGGAGCCGGTGTCCTCGTCGTCGTCCTCGCCCGTCGAAGAGGTCGGGCGAGAGGTCTGCATCGTCTCGCCAGCCTTGAACCTGAACACGGCGTCGGCCGGCGCTGAGGCGCCGGCGGCCGTCATCAGGTGCATCACTATGCGGTCGCGGTATGCCGCATCGATCTCTCCGTGCTCAGCCAGCTCGTTCGCGAGCCAGTCCGAGGCGACGGTCGTCGGGCCACGGTCCCCTGGGGAACCGAGCGAGCCGGCCTTTCCGGCTTTGCGCTTTCGACCTCAGCTCGTCGTCCTCAACCACAGCGTACAGCTTGCCTTCTTCCGCTTTCTTTCTTTCTCTCACACGCTGCCGGGCCAGACAGCATCGACGGGACACACACAGAAACTTGCGGGTTGCGGAAGCGAGTCAGTAAGTAAGTCAAAGTGTGCGACCGCGCGGCCGGGGGCGCGCGCTCTCTCGCCTCGGACTCCGCACGTCGGGGCGGAGACGCGCAAACGAGCGGCGGTCTCTGTGTGCCACACACCAGTCAGCGCACGCGAGGCTGATGCGTACTGTAGACGACGCACGCCGTCTGCTGCACCCCTCGCTCAGAGCACAGTACGATCGTGCACTGCCCTTTCCTCTCGGCAAAGAGAGGCGCGAGCCAACGACACGGCGAAGAGCGCCTCGTCTCCACACTGTCGCAACGCTCTTGCTTCAAACCACCGGAGGGACCGAGCGGGCGGGCCCAACGATCTCGAACGGCTCCGATCCGCCGCAAGCGGCGGGAGAGGGGGTGGCGAAGATCGAGCGACCAACGCCTTGCTTTGCAGTTGCAGAAAGCTCCGTTGATGGCTCCACTGGGAGAGGACGCTTCGTCCCCGCCGCCGGAGTGGAGGCGAGGCCATCTGGCGGCGAGCGGGCAGCACTGGGGATGAGCGTCGGCGGGTTCGAGCGCTCGGACGCAGGCGGGTCCTTGCTGGCTGGCGTGCACGGTTCGACTGCAGCCGGCGCCTCAGGCTCGGCCCGGCGGATGGGGAGCGGGGAATCGCCGATGCGGGGCGTGCCCTGCTTTGCCGGGCTGCGATCGTCGAGCGTTCCAATGTCGCCGGCCATCTCCGACGCCTCTGTGGATGTCGCGCGGCCGTCCACCTCTTCGACGTCGTGCGCCGATCCGAGAGAGGACATGTGGCGGGTTCCATTGAAGCAGAGCGTGAGGCTCTTGAAGCGCTCCAGGTAGCGCTCTCGCTCACGCTGAACGTGCTCGAGCTGCTCTTGAGCCTCGATGATTTGCGCGTCGAGCTCCTTCGCACGGGCCTGCACGGGCACCAGCGCGGCGCAGACGTCGCGGTCGACCTTGGCGAAGAGGCGGTTTATGCCGGCCACCGCCTCGTCCCGGGCCGCCGCGATGGCGCCGTTTTCGATCTGCATCTTTCCTTTCACTCCTGGCTATCGCTGCAGTATCACAGGGCAGCACGGCGGCGCTTCTTAAAAAAAAACTTGTCGTGCCAGTGTGCTGTGAGAGAGGCTTGTATCTTAAGAATTCTTAAAAAAAAACTCGACGCTGCCGACACCTGGAGATTTCAACCCACCTCTCAATCTCTCGCCCCCGCGCAAAGGCTCGCGGTGCGCAAGCCTCTCTGCGATGATCCATGTCGCAACGGCGGAGCCTAGGTAGCGGCGAGCCTCGTTGCTGTGTGTGTGGACTTTGCTGAAATCGCGGGGAGCGCCCTCGGGGGCGCGTCACTGACAATAGAAGACAACAACTCTCTCTCTGACGATCCATCTTGCGCCGATCCTGTCCAGAACGTGCCTCGAGGCGCGCGCATCACGGCGGGTCGGCAAAGTCGCCGTCGTCCTGCTCGCCGTCGTCTCCCGGCGCCAGCATTGCGTCATCGAACTGCGCGCCAAAGAGCTCGCTCACCCTCTCTCGCAGCAGGGGCTCGTAGAGGGAGATGCTCTCCGCGACCCGCAGCTTGACGAGCGCCGACGCTGGGTCGGGCACGTGCGAGATCACGAAGCTCCAGAAGACGCGTGCCGCAAGCCCACACATCTCATCGGTGCTTCCGGCGCCGTTCCTCGCACGCTCCACCAGCATCGCCACTGCGTCCGGGTCGCAGAGCGATGGCGGCAGCTCTGCGTCGGGCTCGCCCGTGAAGAGGGCGACGACACGGAACGCGACACGCCGTGTCTCGCGGTCGCGGTCCCGCGCCTGAGGGTAAGGTACAGCTTCTCCATTATCAATGAGAGGATTACGCTATGGGCCCATCCCTCTCGCATCATCTCTCCCGCGCCT